GGGAGTAGGATGTTAGTGTTCGTGCTTCTCAGACTTTCTGGAAAGAGAAATCCTAAGCAGAACTTTCAGAGTTGTGGGAGTAGGGTGAGGGGCTGAGTGTAAATAGGTGTTTGGATTCTGCCAGATGTAAGCTAAATTGGAAATAATGTTTTGGCTGCATGCAGAACATAAAATGTGCCTTTTTCAAAGATTCGGCTTACATACTGATTTAACAAGTATTTATTGAGCACTTGCCTCTTGGATTATACTGTAAAAGGGGCTCTGGTGGGTATGAGAAATACGGATGGTCCCTGGCTTACCCCTCACAATGGTTTGACTTAAAATTTTTCGACTTTATGATGGATTTAATAGGACCTAACCCCATGTAAGTCGAGGAGCATCTGGACTTAACCATGGTTCAACTTACAGTTTTTTGACTTTATGATGGGTTTGTCAGGATATTAAATGCAGTATCGACTTAAGATATTTTCTTTTCTTTCTTTCTTTCTTTCTTTTTTTTTTTTTTTATAAAGACAGGGTTTCACCATGTTGGTCAGGCTGGTCTTGAACTCCCGACCTCAGGTGATCTGCCCGCCTTGGCCTCCAAATTGCTTGGATTACAGGCATGAGCCAGACTTAAGATATTTTCAATTTACAATGGGTTTATTTGGACGTAGCATCTGTATAGGAAGTGGCCACTGTCTAGCTGAGGAGATGACATGTACCGGTCAGTGAAATAAATAATATCTGGTGTAGCGCCAGACAGAGCAAGAGAGAAGAGTATGGGATGGAACCCCTAAGGAAGAACTTCATGCAAGAAGTTATTTGAACTGTCTTGAAGGATGAGTAGCAAAATTCAAATAGTGGAGGAAAAGGAATGACATTTCAGATGATGAATACTTTGGGACCAAAGGTAACATTTTTCATTGTTAAACATGTTGACCTTTGATCCAGACCAACCCAGATTGAATCCTGGCTCTGCCACCTGGGCAAGTCACTTAATTGTGCCTCATTTTCCTCATCTACCTGTCTCACCAGGGTGTTCAGAAGACTAAATGAGCTAATATTTCTAAAGTGTCTTAGAGGAAGCACCATGCTGTTTGTTAAATGAAAAGGCTTGGGAGTATTTTAAAACACCAAAACCCAGCACATTTTCAGGGGACAATGATAGAAAGTACAAACTAAGAAGTTTTGATGTGGTCAGGCTCTGTGGCTCATGCCTGTAACCCGAGCACTTTGGGAGGCCGAGGCAGGTGGATCACTTTAGGCCAGGAGTTTGAGACCAGCCTGGCCAACATGGTGAAACCCTGTCTCTACAAAAAATATAAAAATAAGCTGGGTGCCATGGCATGTGCCTGTAATCCCAGCTACTAGGGAGACTGAGGCAGGAGAATCGCTTGAACCTGCAAGGCGGAGGCTGCAGTGAGTCGAGATTGTGCCATTGCACTCCAGCCTCGATGACGGAGCAAGAGTGTCTCAAAAAAAAAAAAAAAAAAAGAGAGAGAAAGAAGTAGTGATAAGGACAAATAAGTATGGTGGCGCAAAAGAATTTGGCCCTAACTTTGTAGGCGGTGAAGTTACTTTTTTTATGTGGTGGAATGGGGATAGAGATTGAAATTACAGGGCCAGGTGCAGTGGCTCATGCCTGTAATCCCAGTACTTTGGGAGGACAAGTTGGGAAGATTGTTTGAGGCCAGGAGTTCCAGACCGGCCTGAGCAACATAGTGAGACCTCATCTCTACAACTTTTTTTTTTTAATTAGTCAGGCATGGTGGTGTCTGCCTGTGGTTCCATCTACTCAGGAAGCTCAGATGGGAGGATCGCTTGAGCCCAGGAAATCAAGGCTGCAGTGAGCGGTGATTGCTCCCCTGCACTCCAACCTGAGTGACAAAGTGAGACCCTATTTCAAAAAAGGAAAAGAAAGAAATTACAAAGACATTCTTTTTTTTGAGACATAGTCTCCCTCTGTTGCCCAGGCTGGAGTGCAGTGGCAGGATCCAGGATCTCAACTCACTATAACCTCTGCCTCCCAGGTTCAAGCAATTCTCCTACCTCAGCCTCCCAAATAGCTGGGATTACAGGTACATGCCACTGAGCCCAGCTAATTTTTATATTTTTAGTAGAGACAGGGTGTCACCATGTTGGCCAGGCTGGTCTTGAACTCCTGACCTCAGGTGATGGACTCACCTCAACCTCCCAAAGTGCTGGGATTATAGGCATGAGCCACCATGCCTGGCCTACAAAGACATTCTTTTTTTTTTTTTTTTTTTTTTTGAGACGGAGTTTCACTCATGTTACCTCCGCCTCCTGGGTTCAGGCAATTCTCCTGCCTCAGCCTCCTGAGTAGCTGGGATTACAGGCACGCACCACCATGCTCAGCTAATTTTTTTTGTATTTTTAGTAGAGACGGGGTTTCACCATGTTGACCAGGGACATTCTTTTGTGAAGTTTAGGCCAGGAAGTTTTGTTTTGTTTTGTTTTAGAAACAGAGTCTCCCTATGTTGCCCAGGCTGGACTTGAACTCCTGGGCTCAAGCAATCCTGCTGCCTCAGTCTCTCAAAGTGTTGGGATTACACATGTGAGCCACTGTGCCAGACCTAGGAAGTAGTCTTTATTGGGTGAAAATTATCCAGGGTTCCCTTACCCATTAACCAGAGTAGATCAGTGTTCAGAAGTGCAGGCCGTGGGTGACATTTTATGTAATGCTTCTTTCGGGAATAAACACTGAAAATATCAATTCCAGAGTAAGGTAAAAATTATTTATATTAATATGTTAACAGCCTTGTGGACATTGATGTTTATTGATATTCCTAAAAACCAGTAATAAACATGGATTGATTAAATACAAAATTATATCTGGTGGTGAAAGAGACTGGAAAACACTGTCAAAAACACGATAATCAGATAGCTATGAAAACAACTGCATGTATTTGAAAGTAATTTAATAATGCACAGTTAACAAAGGACATCGTATAGTACATTTAATTTTTTTTACAACAGGTACGATAAGGTAGTTTTCCTGTCCTTTTAATTAAAAATTATATTTTTATCTTTTTTTTGCAAAAGCAATATATACTTATTGAATTTATGAACACAAAAAATAGAAGTGGAAGTCCCCCAAAGTCTCACCCCACAAAAGTAACAGACACCTTTTATTGGGGCAAGAAGCCCATTTTGAGATATCATATTTTCAGAAATAAAAGTTTTTTCCTTATAAAAGTAGACTCAGTGACAAGTTTTTGCTAGCAGCAAACATCTAAATAATCTTATTATGTGCATTTTTTTAATAGCTCTCAGGAAGTTAGCATTAATTCTACTGTGAGTTGACAAAGGGCAAAGCCCCTTTCTAATTTGTGTACAGGATGTGCCTAATTAATAGTTACCTTGCCCCCTTCCCCCCCACACCCCGTAAAGCTATTCTGTAGATAAAGATCACCAGGGGCATTAGCTTCCAATACAGAGGGAAATGATCCAGCAAACTAGGTATCAGACTAATCAAAAATACTGTACAATGATGATTGATACATAATGAAAATTGGTATTCATAAGGATGATCTTTGATTCGCCAACTAAGATTAAATCCTCATCTGGGTAGTTTTAATGTTGAATAGTATAATCTAGGGTTTTAGAAATGGGCGACCCACATATATGAAAAGGGTTAGCTGTAAATATATCTGCTAACTCAGCTAATAAACTTATTAACTGGAAGGCACCATTCTGAGTAACTTGAACGTCCTTGAGAAGTCACATTCCGATTTGCTTTCAGATGTATCACTGATGCACTGAATTGTTTTTCTCTCAGCAGAAATAGATTTGGTCATGTTTGAGTCTTCCTGCAGCTCAGCCTCCCAAATAAGATGGCAACTCAACTGTGCTGCTTGAATCCCTGACCTCGATGGCATTAGCAATAACTCACGAGTCAGTGCTATCAATGTGTGCCAGTGTTACCTTAGCTTATGAAATATGTGGGGGGAGAGGTAAAGTCTTAAACAAATGGGTGCATATATCATATGTAAGTTGCACCCCAGTAGAGTTGATTTCAAACCAATTCTGAACCCGGGAATCACTTTAGGGAGAGGGAATACCGGCCATGACCAAGTTGTGTGAGATGATTAGTACGCTTTGGGAAGCAGCCCCCTAATACTGCAAAGAAGTTGCGTTCATTTATCATCTTCCAAGCATAATCTAGGCTTCTGGCAAATTAGACCCAACCACTTTGTTCTACATTCAGCTGCAGGGGAGTGAACCCTCCTAGGGATTCCCAACTCCCTCTGAAACTCCACCCTTCTGGAGGGCTTGGAAATGGAAGGCACTGTAGAGCTTATGCCATGTCCCAAGATCCTCCACCTGAGCTAGTAACGGTTAGCCCCAGAAACAAAGTCCCCTTTTGCTGGAACTGCCACCACTAGCTTCCCCCCTTCTCTTAGCCTCAGTGTGGCCCTTTCCCGCGGAGGGCCTTCCCCATTGGCCAGCCAAACACAACCGACTGCGGCAGCCAATAGGAGCCGCTCTCCTGAACATTCAGAGGATGGGTGCTCGTGGTGTGATGAGGGGAGGTTGGCGCCTGGTACGCGCCCCCCTACATCTGGCAAGTCCGTGACAGAAACAGTAACACCACCCCCTACACACGCACACGCGCGCCCGCTGGCTCCCTCCTCTCAGCTGTGCAGGCCCCCGACAACCCGCTGCGTGTCTTGGCAGCGCCCTCCCAGGCTGCCTGGGGCCTGCGAGTGCACCTGCTCACTCAATAAGACAGAGCATCCCTTTATGCCTAGGTGGGGGTAGAGGGGACAGGGTAACGGAGACGGGGGACCCGGAAGGCTCCGCTCAGCTGTCCGCTGCTCCCGAGGTGAAAGAGGTGCCTCCGCCCCCACCCCACCCCCGCCGAGTCGCGTTGCTCCAGCAAGGTCGAAGTGATCCAGTGATGCCTTAGGGTGCAGCTCTTTGTCCTCCCCAGCTGCACTCGCTGCCCGCTGACCCCATGCGCTCTGAGCCAGTGGGGGCAGGGAACCCGAAACTTATAAATGGGGGCAAGAAGAAAGAAGTCTATCCGGGGTGGCGTGTGCCGTTGTCCCCACCCCCTCCCTTTCCTCCTGAGGCTTCTTCCCTCCGGTCCATCCCTGGAGTGCAGGCAGGGGACGGTGTGGACCGACGCGCGGCGTCGGCTGGAGCAGCGCCGTAGGGTCCTTCGCCCACAGCATCCGGTCCGAGGGTACACACAGGCAGAAGGCTCGCAGCTCGTCCACTCTCCTCTCTCTCTCCTCCTCTCCCTAGCTTTTGTGTTGGTGCCTCCGAGCTGCAAGAAGGGTGTGCTGAAGGAGGAGGAGGGGGGCCGGGGTGAGAGGCACCCCCTTCACGCGCGCGCGCACACGGTGCCGGCGCACGCTCACACGGGCGGACACACACGCGCGCACACACACGCACAGAGCTCGCTCGCCTCGAGCGCACGAACGTGGACGTTCTCTTTGTGTGGAGCCCTCGAGGGGGTTTGGGGCCCCGGTCCGGTCCGGGGGAGATGGCGCAGCCCATCCTGGGCCATGGGAGCCTGCAGCCCACCTCAGCCTCCGGCCTGGCATCCCTGGAGCTCGACTCGTCGCTGGACCAGTACGTGCAGATTCGCATCTTCAAAATCATCGTGATTGGGGACTCCAACGTGGGCAAGACCTGCCTGACCTTCCGCTTCTGCGGGGGTACCTTCCCAGACAAGACTGAAGCCACCATCGGCGTGGACTTCAGGGAGAAGACAGTGGAAATCGAGGGCGAGAAGATCAAGGTGATCCAGGGGGTCAGGTTCAGGAAGGGAGGGACCTGGGAGGGGACCTCGCTCGAGGCATAGCTCTAGCCCAGGGTCCAGCGTGTGGCGGTTTCGCCTCTTGCTGAGCCAAAGACCCACAGCCCCTCCTCACCCCTTTTCACCTCTCTCAGCGGGGCCCCATCCCCACCTCACTCAATTTTTTAGGGAGGGCGAGAATGGTGGCATTCTTACCCTTTGCCCCTGCCTGACAGGTCCTGCTGGGAAAAGCATGTTGGATCCCATCCTTGACCCCTAGCCAGAGCAGCGGCACCTATGGGCAGAGGGAGGCAGGAGGCATCTCTGTGTCCTAGTCTGTGGGATGGATCCCAAAGCACTTTACACATCCTGAGGTCTCTTCTACCTCTTGGGTGCCGATAGGCTGCAAAACCCCACTTTGGCTAAGCCTCAAGGCGTTAAAAGGAAGGAAAGGATGGAAATTCATGGAGAATGAAAAAGCTGTTTTATTTTAAATTGCAGCTGAAAGTTAAGATTAGGACTGAGTTGAGATGGGGTGGAGTGGAGTGGCTGTGGCAGAAAGCCATGAGCCCTTTTGAAGAAATTGAGGCAGGGTCACCAGCCAGCCCTTTGTAATTGACAAAACTTGTTCATTTGGAACAGGGCCCCTGGAATGGTATCTTCTTTACTTGTCTGGGGTATCTAATACAAGAACTGCTCCTTATTCATTCTGTTGGTATTGTCTTCAGAAGGTCTTTGTAAAAATGCAGAGTGACTTAACCAGGGACCCATGGAAATGCTCAATCCTCTCCCTCCATAAGTTTATGTAATAGGTGAAGTGCAAATATTCTTGTCTGACCATTTGTGCTCACCTTTCATGCAGAAAAGGTAGAAACCTGAGATGACAGGAATATGTCAGTGTGCAGGAGATGGCAGAAGGGAAGACATAACAAGGGCAACTTTGTGTGTCAGGGAGCAGAGGGGGCCGTTATAAAGGCGCTGGGATCACTGAAGACAAATCTAGGCTCACAGCTGGTCTTTCCTTGAGCCTGTGGTTGGACCCTACGCAGAATCAGGGTGACAGTAAGCCTCCTTCTTGCTGGTCAAACGGCCACAGTGACCATAAGTCCCCTCTTCTGAGTGACATGGAGAGAAGAGCTGAGTGACTGATGAAACACTTGAAACTGTGTAAGAGTCCTGACTCCTTGATTATTAAAATAAATGTGTTCTAAAATTGGCTTCAGAAACTGGGCCAGCGCACTAGATGTCAGGAAGATGGACAGCTCAGTGCTGATAAGGGAGAGCCTCAGGGTCAGGAAGATAGAACATTATTTTGAAATTGTGATCTTTTTGGCCCCTTGCATTTTGGAGGAGAATTGCTACATTTCCTTTTAAAGTCAAAGGCGGTATCTGTCTCTGTCCTTTCCTGGGGCTCTTATGTTGACATTTGCTTGGTTAGGACTTCCCCTAGTGTGTCTAGCTTCTTTAATGTAAGGCTATAAGATTCTAGAATTTCTAAAACATGCCTTTGTAATCCAAAGTAGAAATATCTTTACGGATGGGCTCTTAAACCCTCAAAAACCTTAACGTTTAATGTTCTTATTTGCTTAAAATCAAGTGTTACAATGAGCTAAAGAGTTTCCTGGATTTAAAAGGTGGGAAATAAATCCATCTGAAATTTAGATGGAGAAAAAGGAGGTATTTGGGGATCTAAAGGAGGGAGGAGGAAGCTAGAAAGTGAGGAATGGGAGATGAATACACCCAGTGGCCTTGGGGGAATTTTTAAACCATTTCTTCTCTTCCAACACCCCAGTACTTAACCAAACTGGATTTTATAGTCTCTGCCAAAGGCTCCAGACTTTTTCCCAGAGGGCAGAGCCTGTGACAGTGTGACTCACAAGAAACAGAACTCAGCACAACACCACGTGCAGATAAGTGCTTAATAAAGGCTTTTTTTGGGAAGATGATATTTTCAAGAGGACAAAGCCTTGTGACACGGCTCATGGAGGAGTCCTGTGAGGGCAGATTCCGAAGGAACTCACAGTGGCACGTGGGAGTGGGGAGACGGTGACCCTGCCTCTTGTAAATCTGCTGCAATCTCAGGGCCAGAGCTGGCAGGCGAGAGACCAGCATGTCTGTGGGAAGACGGCAGAGCCTGGCAGCTAGCACGTGATCTAGATAGGAAAAGATCTGGCCTCACACTCTGGCTAGCCTGAAGTTGTTCAAGGAATACGTGCCAAAGCCATGCTTGGAGATGACTGCCAAAGGCTTCTCCCTTTGGGAGAGAGAGAAAAGTCCAATGTGACAGTCCGAGGTCACCCTAGACCACAGCCAGCAATAGAAGGCTGTAAGGCTGTAACATACCAGCCCTTGCAGGAGAGCGGTAGAGAGGTCTCAGCCAGCTCTTCTCAGTCCAACAGCAAGGGTGTGGCCTCTTCTGGGCGGCCTCCCTGTGTCCCAGGGTAACACATACATGAACCCCTGCTAGGGACAACTGATTTGGTGTAGTTGGAGCCACGCTTTAATTAATGATCAAGGCCATCCCTAGGGGGAAGCCCCGTGTGCTGTCTCCAATCATTATGTTTCCCACCCCAACCCCATCACAGCATTTGCAATTGAGTCCTGATGAACTCAATTGTGTGAACATCAAGAAAAGCCTCCAATGAGTAGGCAATAATAGTAATAATAATAACTTCTAACTTCTACGTAGCGAATAAGCAAAGAGCCCAGGCTAGGCACTTTCCATGCATTATCTTATTTGCTCCTCACAGCAGCTTTATGAAATCAGCACTATTGTTATCATTCCCATTTTATAGATAAGGACATTGAGACTGAGAGAGATGAAATAACACAATGGCACATGGATCTGAGCTTCGGTCTTCCACTCTTGAGCCCAAGCACTTCGCCACCTCACTATCCTGCCTTTCCTGTGACAGGGCCACAATTTCAACCCACATTCAGAGACCATACCCTTTACCATGACATTCCACTCTAGAGGACAATATTCAGCCCCATAGATTGGGGGAGTTTGACAGGGGGAGGTAGAATGCCAGGCAGCCAGTCTTGCTCTCTCTTCTAGACCAAGGACTCAGGGTTATAGCTCAAGGACCCAGGAGCCTTTCAGATGTCCCCTTCAATTTGCATCCAGGACACACAGAACCCACCTGGTTTTACTTTTTTTTCGTAGTCTATTTTTTTGAGATGGAGTTTCACTCTTGTCACCCAAGCTGGAGTGCAGTGGTGGGATCTCGGCTCACCGCAGCTTCAGCTTCCTGGGTTCAAGCAATTCTCCTGCCTCAGCCTCCCAAGTAGTTGGGATTACAGGTGCCCACCAACACACCTAATTTTTATATTTTTAGTAGACATGGGGTTTCTCCATGTTGGCCAGGCTGGTCTTGAACTCCTGACCTCAGGTGATCCACCTGCCTCGGCCTCCCAAAGTGCTGGGATTACAGGCGTGAGCCACTGTGTTCAGCCCTGGGTTTACTTTTTGTGCCTTGACTGTCTCAACTCAGGTATGAGAGTCAGAGAATGTTCAGAGATAAAAGAGACTTTACAGATTCTGTAATCCAATGTCCTCCTCCTTCAGATAAGAAACTGAGACTCAGAGAGGGAAAGTGACTTGCCCAAGATTACACAGGGCCAGGCCTAGAACTCAGGTCTCCTAATTCCCTTTCTGGTGCTCTTTCCACACATCATGCTGCCTGGCTTAGAAGAGCACAAAATCCTCCCTCCAGCCTAGCTTCATGATCCATCCAACCTACAGCTTATCTATGACAAGGACCCACAAGGACATCATAAGGGATAGCTGACAGTCTCTCCTGCCATCAGCCTAGGAAGGGTGGAGGCATCCCCAACCCCAAAGGAAGGGTGGGGCTTCCCTTAATGACTATGATGTGTCTGTCACCTACAGATGTAGTTAAATTTAGCATGTCTCCTAAATGCACTGGAAAATGCCGAAAAGGGGTGTGTGTGGGGGGGGGAGGGTATATAGTAGAGAGGAGGCTAAGAAACTTATTTATTTATTTATTTATTTGGAGATAGAGTCTCACTCTATCACTGGGCTGAAGTGCAGTGGCGCAATCTAGGCTTACTGCAACCTCCGCCTCCTGGGTTCAAGCGATTCTCCTGCCTCAGCCACCCGAGTAGCTGGGACTACAGGCATGTGCCATCACGCCCAGCTAATTTTTGTATCTTTAGTAGAGACAGGGTTTCACCATGTTGGCCAGGATGGTCTCGATCTCCTGACCTCGTGATCCGCCTGCCTCAGCCTCCCAAAGTGCTGGGATTACAAACGTGAGCCACAGCGCCCGGCAATTAAGAAACTAATTTTTGAACCATTCTTTGTAAATTTGCATGGAAGCTGCACTTCTGTCTATAATAGTTTGGTTCCTTTCACAGGCTGGGCACTCCCTGTGCCCCAGCCCTGGGGACCATTCAAACTGCAGGTCAGCTGTGGCTATGGGCAGGTACAGCTCAGGACTGTGAATTTCTGTTCCTCTGCTGATCACTGGGGGAAAAAAAAACACCTTCCTGTGTTACATTATCAAGCGGATGGAGGCTGAGCTAAGCGTTCCTCGGAAGCTGCCTGCAGTCAGAATGACATCATGTCTTCTTTAGGGCTTCTGAGCTTCTATCTTCTGCCAGTTAGCTTAATGGTTAATTATCCATCAGTGTGAGTTTCTCTGTCTCCCTTGCTGCTTCTTTCTGTGTATGAGTTTCTCTTTGTCTCTGTCCTCCTTTGCCATTCTCTGTGTCAGCTTTGTGAGTGGATCTTAGATGCAGATGGGACAGTCCAGCTAGTTGAAAACAGGTTTCTTTTAAACTTTTCCCATCATCCACTGGGGCACCTCCAAAGGTTACAGATGTATTTGTCTCCTTTTTTTTTTTTTTTTGTACTTCTACCCTCCCCCATCAGCCTCCAACAAAAGGACATTCATGCCTCATCTCTAGAAAGATGTCAGTCATGTTTCCTAGGGAAAAGAAATCCCATCAGCTAAGAGCACGTGCAGGGGGTGGAGGGC